TATCAATAAAATAGCCAGTGATAGCTATAAATGCTTGTCCGAATGGTGAAGTCCAGCAATCCAATGCAATTGAAATTTTTGCATCTACTGGAAGTAGTTTGAGTGTAGAGTGTTGACGTTCTTTCACACGAGCAGATAGTCGACGTCGAACTGTATCAGCAGAGGGGATAGATGGTAGGCTTAGGGCCGAGTGTGCTTGTGATATTATCCGTCGAAACGTTGGATGTTCGATAAGGTGAAAGGGAAGTCGATTGATCGTGATAAACTGTAACAGATTGTCCTCCTAAGCTACCTCGGAGAATGGCTCTCGGATGGTATTTTCCTATTTTAATTATATTAGTGGTACGAACCGTACTAGAGGGATATCTATACTGTTGACTGAATAAACTTATCGAGTCGCCCTCGTTGCTGATCTCCACTTATAGCCCTTTTACAGGTAGAAGTCCGAAGATGCCTAGTCATAGTAGTTGTACCATGACGCGTATCCTTCCCGTTCGCATCTTTTTTGGCTGTATAAGGATGCTCAAGGATCGCAGAGCAATACTTACACATAACCTTTGGGCTGCCATCGCTGCTATGGGCTACCTGGGTAAAGTGCTCCCAGACATATAAAAGATGATTTGAGTGCTATACGACCTTACCCTTTGATCTATAATCAGTTTGTAACCACCACTCTACCCATTCTTGGTGATTCATTCTATTATACAAGAAGTATAACCTTTTCCGATCGGGTCCGACACGTTCAAATCGTTTAAGCTGGGGGAGTAAGGGAGGGTCGTCTGGTCGAAGAAAAGCCGGTACGGAGACATCAAAAGTCTGTTGGCTTGTCGATAGCGTAGCTGGATAATTAGAGGGTATAAGGTAGGATAAGTTATCGTAGTCACCTCCGAATTGGGATGATGTAAACTCGGACTGCTGACTTTGGGACATCGCAGAGTTAATAAAACCTATAACTGTAAGGGCTTTTGAGAATCTATGAAGGAGTGTTGATACGTTACAAGAAGCTCGACCACCTAGAAGTGTTACTTGGCTAGTTAAATCAATAATCGATAGATCAAAATAGAGGGTGATAACAGTAATAGATGATTAGTTAAATTGTCTACAATAAGTGGGACCGGCTCGAAGAAAGCCTATAAAGCTCGAAAAAAGCCCACAAAGCTCGAAAAAGAGCCCGTAAAGCTCGAGAAAAGCTCGTAAAGCCCACTAATAACCCGTAAAAAGCCCATTCCCGGCCTATTCCTAGCTCGTTAGAAGTTGATTTTCCTCAAAATATTTCAACTGATTAGCCATAAGAAATTGTTAAACATAGGTAGCTTATCCAGAACTATTAGGACTAGCAATCTAAAATGTTCCTAGAAATCATAAAGGTATAGACTTTCTTTTCATATAAAATTTGAATAAGTCAAGCCACTTATAATTGGTATTGATCTGAGATTGATACTCGACCATAAAGATATACATGGTTCCCAGTACAGAATATATATCTCAGTATGTATCAACTCATAAGCGTAGAACATTTCTAACAAATTGATCTATATAGTTATAAAGCTTAGTTATTATGCTAATATATCAAAGATAAACATCTATTCACTAGAATTTCCAAATATTTCACCTTCCTGATTATGATAATGGAGTAGAATTCCATGTTTGAACCAAAACATGGGTAAAAGACTGTCATTTATTTGGGTGATTCAGCCATTTTATGAACGCCAAGACCATGGTTTATGCAATTTCGAGCCCAGGGGGGGGGCCCGACGAGCCCCCCCCCTTCGAGCCGGGGTCCGGGTCGAGCCCAAAAAGTTCGACCCCCAGCTCGTTGAGGGTCGGGTTTCGAGCCCGGACCTTGGGCCCAAAGTTGGGCTTTGCGGAAGTCTAAATAGGGTACGATTGAATCAAGGCATTAAGATCTATCAGCGCAGACACTGAATCCAGTGTTCATGATAATTTGCCACTATTCCAGGCCAATAACAATAGGTGCTGCGGAGGTTGCAGTTATCATTCGGAGTTTTCATTGAGTGTTCGCAAGTATGACCATGGGTATGAAATCCACTGTGGACAATGTATTTTTTAGAATGGGGAAAGGAAGAAGGGATCGGCAGAATGTAGTAAAACCCTGTTATAACGATATATTCTGCTCCGTAGGTAGACACAGCAAAAATATCGTTAAACCCAGGTAATCGGTATATCAAGATACCATATGTTAAATATACATTTCTGGTCTACATACACATCTACACTCCAAAACTTCAAAAAAAGCTTCTAATATTGCTCTGCTTCTCTACCCCCAATTTTCTGGTTTCCACTAACCTTCTATATCTATTAAGCACCCCAATTAACTACTCTTATAGAGCCACTTTAGCATCGATCGGCGAGGCATTTGAATTGGTTGAAAGGGGTCACATGTCACGTGACTAACTAACCAGGTATTTAATTGGTTAAAATTAGTTAACTAACTAATTACGGACAAACCCCTCAATAGTTAACGTATTTCACTACCGAGTGGGCCACCACTACCGAGTGGGCCACCCCATCTAACCTACCAATTTTAAATGCATTTATCTCAACCAAAACGCCATTAAATTAATTCAACTAACTAAGTGGTCTATCTGGACATGTTTCTCTTCTATGCCCTGGCAATCTGCATATTCCACACCCCCGGGGGGCCGCGTACGTGGCTGAATAGTTGATTCTCTAGGCATGCCGGGGCCGGGGGGAGGTGCTTCAATTGCTTCTTGTTGCTGCATAATTAATGCAGAGGCTTCTTGAACTGAAAGGCCTTCTTCGGCGGGTATCTGCTTTCGGGATCGAGTACGCTTTTGCTTCTGCTTCTCGTTGGCGGCGCGTAATTCCTTGTTTTCTTTGGCGAGTAAGATAGCACCTTGCATTGTAAGACGGAAGCCTTTCACAAGCTGGTTTAATGCACGATCTGATGGGCTAGGCGGGCTTCGAGATCTTGTACGAAGTAAAGCTTTGATTGATGAAGCCTGACGACGTAGATCTTTCTCTGTAAAAGGGGTTTTTGGTGTAAAATTCCGGCTTGATTCACTACCCCGGCTAGCTGGGGGGGTTGGAGTTCGAAGCCGAATATTGAGCTTTGAAATCACTCTCTCCGGTAAAAAGGGGACTAAACCGGCTGCTCCGAAGCTATTTTTAATAGTCTCCGATTTAAAAGCTTCAATTCGTGCGAGGGGGTATGCTTCGAGGAAGTCAAGCTTATCGATATGGTTGATCCCGTTCCGCATTTTGGTTTCAACCATCCGACCGTACGATCGTTTTAATACCGCAAAACAGCCAATATCCAGAGGTTGTAAAAGATGAGATGAATGTGCTGGCATACAGATTGGTATCACCTTATTTTGCTCACAAATTTCGTCAAATTTAGGCGTTAAATGACTTCCGTGGCCGTCAAGTACTAGAAGCCGATACCCCCCTTCGTACGCGCAGAAGTACTAGGAATAAAGAGCTTTTCTAGCCAACGGAGTCCAATTTCATCAGAGGTCCAGCCGTTAGGGCTTACTTCGAAACGCCAGTTCTCCGGAAGGCCTTCGAACCATAATTCAAGAAAGACTTTGCCTTTGAAAATCACACACGGAGGGAGGGCCCAACCTGAAGCATTCGTACACTCAATTGTAGTCACCCATTCACGATTTCCAGGTTGTAAAACTCCTCTTCGACTAGGTAAATCACTTCTCGTAATAACCTTTATAGTTGAAACCACTCCTATAGCGAAACCGGTCTCATCGAAGTTATAGACATCGTCGGGGTCGATTCCAAATTGAAGGATTGTCTTTTGAACCAGATTAAACCACTCTTGAATGATTTTCGGGTCTTCGCATTTCGCACGCTCGTAGTTATACCGTTTTGAGAATCGGGAGGAGAGGAGAGGATGCCGTTGTATAAATTTCGTAACCCAGTTTTCGCCGACCGAAAGAACCGGGGTAGTTCCACGCTTTTGAAGAAGAAGATCCGCCATTTCTCGTACCATAGAGTGCCGGGGGGCCCCTCCACGAGAATCCATAGAGAGTATCCATTTTTGAAGAGATTCCTCCTCGAGTTCTGTTAATATATGACTATTGGCGCGTGTTTCAGGACGAAAGGTATCACCAGCGAGGCGGCGTTGTAAGGTAGAGCGGGGGACTTCGAAACGGCGCGCCACTTCACGAATTGAAGAGATTTCTTGATTCTTAAAAGCCTGGATAGCTAGTAAGATCCTACCCTCTTGCTCTATTGAATTTCTAGAGCGTTGAGAGCGAATTGGTGGCATGGTGGGTGGTTGAAGAAGAAGGGGTTAAATTAATTGACGCGTTTTGGATAGGTGGCCCACTCGGTAGTGGTGGCCCACTCGGTAGTGAAATACGTTAACTAACTATAACGATTTTTGTATGGCAAATGAATTCAAGCACCGGATTTTGATCGTTATATCCGGCATATAACCGGGTTTTAGGTCAAATTTTGTACGGAGTAATTTCTGTATCAATAGTTATTTTCAGACCAACCCAACAAATACTTTGAAATCTGAATCATCTTATTTCCTATCCGTTTACGCGTTTTCCGAGTCCTCTGCGGAAGCGTGTGTGTTCTTGGAGATAGTCAATAGTATCTTCCAGTGCTACAACGAAGAGACTAGATACAGGCCAGTAAGGACGACTGAACTACACATGACAGCTACCATAGTATTTTTTTCCCCCGCAAACTCCGCCTCTTAGATCCGACCCTAGTGAAGTGCACTGGGACAGAATCAGAGGATCCACCGACAGGCCTTCAAATATTTGATATTAATCTCGAGGCCCTAGCTGGGATGACTACATACGATATTTACAGACGATTTGTTGATTGGTTTCCAGCATGCCTATCCCTGCCGGACAACAGTTGACTCACGACACCCGAATGAAGAGTATCAGGCGTTCCCCCATCCCCCGACAAGAATAATTATAACTGTGCAGGATGACCCGTTTTGCCATTCACCCACGGTTCCATGCCATTTACCACCCACATCAATAATGCCGCAACCACGAAACAGGTGGAATTATACCGAGGATAACCTACTTCGAAGAGAAGTGTTTACCCAATGTATGTCCAGAAAATTTGACGGTAGAAATGCAGTCTAGTTGACAGAGGGCGCGATTTGCTAATCGTTAGTGATTCATTGCCCCAGTGGTGGCGGAGGGAGCGGTGAAAGACTGGCAGTGCATTGCGACCAAGCTTCCAGGCCGCACTAACAAAGATTGCAGAAAGCGGTGGTATAATGTTGTCTCTGGCGGAGTGAATAAAGGCCACTGGGCGCAAAATGAGGACAAATTACTGACGGAAGCGGTCAAAACCTGTGGTAAAAGGTGAGGAGCTCATCAGGCGTCGACGAATTGTGTTTGAGAATATCTGCAAGCTGACTTTTCAATGTTATCGAATTCAGCTGGACGGTCGTTGCAACCGCTGTTAAGTCTCGAAACGCGGACCGTGTGTTGCCATTCTACTTAGAGATGTGTATGAAATACAGTTCTATGGCTAACCGTGAGATGAGCCAGAATGCGCCAAGCGGTGGAAGCAATTTCTCGATCCTGAATTGGACCGCAGTCAGTGGACAGATAAGGAGGTGAGTCTACGTGGCTATGATACACGTCACAGATATACTTCTGGACCAACATTGACTCCATGTTTCTGTATTCAGAACAAGCTTCTCCAGGAGGCGCACAAGAAATACGGCAGACGATGGAAAGAGATTCAGGCCAAGTACTTCCCTACGCGGTCAAGAAATGCAATAAAAAATCAGTATATATTGTCTTACTGAAAAACCAAGGGAAAGCTATGATTGCTGATATTCCGAGCAGATACACCATCCTTATCCGAAAACGGAAACAAGCGCAAAGTAATGGCATTGAAGACAATGAAGAAGCTTTGGGTAAGTCAGACAGTGAAGAGACTGGCCCGGTGGAAGCACAGGCGACAACTGTCATGGATTTGTCACACGGACAATCATATGATAATCTGAGTGGTGGTGATGCCATGATCGACGGGGGTGATTCTGCAGGGGAACAAGAGCCCCCTCCCAATGAAATCGATACCTGGGATTCCCACTTCTGCAGCACCTATAGTCACACCTATAGTCACTTATTCAGTGATTCAACTCTCGCAGACCATATGGCACTGGACCCTGCAACCAATGCAAACCAGGTGTTCTCGCAGTGCTTTCCAGCCGGAGAAGTGTATTGCTGGGATATACCAGGGCCACAGGCAGTCCAGACAGGCTCTGACAATTTTGATAGCAACACTTATGATCCGCCTGAGGACTCCGAGCTCTTGGCACTGGGATTGTTCCCGACTCCGGCCGCTGGCCCGGAGTCTATTGGTCAGAATCCTAACTTGGTTGATTGGCACCCGACGTCAGGCCTTGCCCCTGACGAGGCCGGTTCTTCTCCCAGGAAGATCACCTTTACGGTGCAATCTCCGTGCCCAGACACCGTTGAGTCCCCTATGCGTATTGCGTTGAAACCTGGATCCTCGTTTAGCTTTGAGAGAGAATAAAGCATTCAGACGATGCCAATCCCTTGCAGTAAGCCTACCTCAAACGCCCAGAACTGAACCGTGGGGGCAGCTGGTATGGGGTGAGGTCCATACAAGTCCTTAATGAACTCAATACAGAGCTATGATTGAAGAGAAACCGTCCGTGAATTTGAGACATTTAATCATAGAATCGTGTACGGGGGCCAATTGTGATTTCATTAGTCAAGCAGTTATTGTATCGTGAAGGCCCAGGAACAGTTATCGAAAATAGATCAAACATATCCTCAATTTGCAAGCTCTCATAATAAAGAAAATGTGCACCATTTACCATTATCTTCTCCAAGAGATACCCGGTAACGTTGACGATGGCATCGATGAACCCGTGTTGGTGGATCAACGGGGCGAGAGCATCTTGAATCACGGCGAAGGAACTGGTAAAATCGAGCTCTAGGGTCTGGTAGCCAGCTGTGCCCACCGTCTGCAGCCTGGATTTATTCCTTCCCGCTGCGATGACGGTGGCGTGCGACTGGGCTTACAGGGCGATTTCCTGGCCGATTCCTGACCTCGGGACGAGGTCCCTATGACTAACCACACCGGACGTCGACCTGCACAGGATTTGGGGATGTCGTGGGTCATCTTTTTTTCCCTTTGCTTTCGATTGCAAATGGTTCCTCACGAATCACAATATAGCGGGAACTGCGAGACCAGAAGGAACTTTCGTTGGTGTTGGAAGGGGAAATGATATCAAAATGAAAGAGGAAGTCAGAGAGGCTGTGGTCCAGGTATGTACCTATTTACGCCGGCCCAGCATCTGGTGTGTAGTTAAGTCAATGGATAACTAGGGTTTTCCCTCATTCCTAAGCAGAAGTATTAGCAGAACGCTCTAACTAAACAGTAGGAATGATAATTTGGTTTTTCGGTGACTGTCCTCACGGCGTCCGGGAAACAGCGCTGCTTGATGTATGACATCGACCTACGCTAAGCTAGGAATCTCCTTGAGAAAGCCTTTCCTCAAGCAGCCATCGCTGTGAAGGATTACTGCGCCAGAGGTACCCAGGCCCACAGGCATTACACCTCAATGTCGGCAATGATGTTTATCCCATTTTTTCAAGAGGATATCACATCCTCTTGGGGGTTTTAAGATACTTGAGCTTTCACGTTGATTCTGTCTAATCTAATTCATTAGTTTGGATACCAGCCGATATACATGCATCCTTCGCGCCGATACTATACAACAAACACTGTATAGTGTATAGGTCTTCGTCCAGTTGCCACAGGGCTGCTGGCGGGGCTTACTGTAAACTGGCGACCCCTCATTTACGCAGGTCCGCACTGGATGACATCAGAGTACATACCTACAGGACTTATATAGATGTCCTCCTTCCCTCCGACTAGCAGCACATACCCTCCATACCATCCTTTAAGAACACACCATCCATCCATCCATCCATCCATCATGGCTACTACCTCCCGGATCTGGCTTATAACTGGCACCTCGTCCGGATTTGGCCTAGAGTTGGCTAAAGTGGCCGCCCAGCGTGGGGATCGCGTGTTAGCCGCCACACGTAGTCCGCATAAATTAGCCAAGCTCGAGTCAACCAACCCTAATATCAAGGCTGTCTACCTAGACCACAACGAGACCCCAGCCCAGATCCAGGCAGCGGTCAAGACTATCCTAGCTATCCATGGTACGGTCGATATTGTCGTCAACAATGCCGCCTACGTGCAGACAGGCATGCTTGAAGAGGCCACCCCAGAAGAGACTCAGCGTCAGTTCCAAGCTAATACCTTTGGCCCTCTTAACCTTTACCGCGCCCTACTGCCACACCTACGCGCTAAGGGGTCGGGCACTTTGGTTACTATCGGCTCTATGGCCGCCTGGTACCCTATGGCTGGCTGCAATCTCTATAACGCCTCTAAGGCCGCTCTGCGCTGGCTCGGACTTGGGCTGGCGGGTGAAATCTCCCAGTTCGGTATCCGCCACTGTTTAGTCGAACCGGGCTTCTTTCGTACCAATTTACTGAATCCGACAGCCAATATTACTATGACTGCGAAGTCCTCGCGTCTATCGGCCTACCAAGAGGTAAACGACACCATCGACTCCAATTTCGCCGCATTTAACGGCGCCCAGCTGGGTGACCCCGTGAAGGGCGCGCAAGTTATCTACGACGTCACCACCTCCACGGGAGTCGCCGAGGGGAAACCCCTACCTGTTTTCTTGCCCTTAGGGAGTGATGCCAGCGAGGAGATTAGCAAGGCTGCGTCTGAGACCTTGGCAGCGATTGAGGAATGGCGAGAGATTAGTTCCTTGACGGACTTTCCAAAAGGTTCATAATTATGTACCTGGTGTCTCGGGCCTTTCAGAAAGGTGCTTGCCCGTCAGCGCTCTTTGCAGCCCGAGACAACGCGCTTGACCATCGCTGCTGTCCGAGATAACGCACACGTGCTTGTCCGAGGTTGCGCAAGCGTTTGTCTGGTTTGTGGGCAAGGATGAGTGTTTACAGGATCTATGCAACATTGCACCTTGCCCTGTCCTTTGCTCTTCTATATAGAGGCTAGACTTGCCGCTGCTTCTTCTTCTCCCATCAATCAATTATGAATTGCTTGGATCTTCTCTCTCGCTTGTAGCCTCCGATAGGGCCAGATGGCTATGTTTTTCTGTGTTAGCTGGCCTATGCCGCCGATTCTTGTTAACTATGTATGTTCTCTTGTGGTCTGCTGTCCATTGGCCACCTCACTGAGATCTCCCCATAGTCTTCCGCATAAACCCGTTTTGGGTCGAAGGTCTCGACCCAGAACCCAACCCAGACCCAGTGACTGGGGCCCCAGAAAACCCAGTATAGGCCCAGTTCGACTCAAGGTCTTGGCAGTCACAAACCAGCTAAATCAGCAGAATTATACACATCATTAGCGTGTTCGCTTAGTTTGTAACCCAATTTGGGGCCCCAGACCCAGTGCTGGGTTACCTAGTCCGACCCAGACTGGGTTGGGTCTGCGTTTTACTGGGTCGTGCTAACAAGGACACCGGAAGGGAGGGAATACGAAGACGAAGCATTTTATAGGCGGTCAAATGAACTAGGCGAAAAGGGAGGGGACTTAGCTGAAGGGGAGCCATTCTCGGCGTCGTTTTAGTCGCCAGTGGAAACGAGGGGAACAACTGTGTAAGTCGAGTGTCAACATCAGGATCGGAGGAAGACTAGAAGTGCTAGGCGGGTGCAGAATAGTGGTATTACAGGGTAGTGAGCGGTCAAGGGGCGGCTGGACGTCCAAAGTTACGGGTGGAAAGGCAGCCGTTTCTGGCGTCAAAAGCGGTCATTTTCGGCGTTAATCCCATAGGTCCTCATATTCTAGTTATGAAATAGGAGAAGAGATGGGAGAAGCAAGCACGACTATATTCAATATAGCGCTTTGCTCCCAACGTCTAATATAGATACTTAATTAGTTACTGGATCTTCAATGTCGAATCAAGAAACAGTACGTGTATCAAACCTTTGAACCACCGAATTCTACTAGACATATAACCTGCTCTAACTATCAATATATAACATGCCATTCCCATGCAGGGTTTATTAGTGGCGCAAGAAGATAGGCTGGTCATTGGTCAAAACTCTTTTCTCCGAGGATACGGATTTTTTTAGGCACTAACTCCATTAAACACCGATTCCTCCTGGGAGATATGTTATATTTATAATCGTTGGCCAAACTCTCTAGGCCGTAATAGGCCGTAATAGGCCGTTGTGGGGGATGACGGGATCGAGGGGAACCATAAAAGCCAAGCTCCTCGCTCTTTTGAATTCCTACTCTCATACATCTATAGCTCCATAATTTATCATAATGGTTAAAGTTCTATTGACTGGTATGCGGTTTTAATCTACTCTCGGTTCTAATCTAACTATCTGTTTTAGGAGGCAGTGGCTTCATCGCCGCCCACATTATCGACATTCTGCTACAGCATGGGTATGATTTTAGCTATCATAATTATATACATCAAGAGTTGACAGTTTTACTCTAGTTTTGATACAGTTGTTACTGTTAGATCAGAGGAGAAGGGCAACCGTATTATTGAGGCTCACCCCGAAGTGTCGAAGAAGAATCTCTCCTATGTGGTTGTCAAGGATGTTGCCAAGGAAGGTGCATTTGATAAGGTTATCACTATCCTTCCTCTAACAATATACAACTAACGAAAATACAACAGGCCATCAAATCAAGCCCTCCCTTTGACTATGTGATCCATACCGCATCTCCTTTCCATTATAACGTCCAGGACCCTGTGAAGGATTTCCTTGACCCGGCTATCAAGGGAACAACTGGTATTTTGAAGGCAATCAAAGAATATGCCCCCACCGTGAAGCGAGTGGTAATTACGTCATCTTACGCTGCGATGGTGAACGGCAAGCAGCACCCTAAGGTCTACAGTGAGAAAGAATGGAATCCGGTGACATGGGAGGAGGCGATGGACCACTCGCAAGTTTACCGTGCCAGCAAGGTAGGTTATACATGATTCCCGGGTACATGCATGCGCTAAATCACTTTCATATTAGACATTTGCGGAGAAAGCAGCCTGGGCCTTCGTTGAGAAGGAGAAGCCGAATTTCGATATTGCTACCATCAATCCACCACTAGTATTTGGCCCAATCGTTCATTACCTCAACTCTCTTGAGACTATCAACACCTCAAATCAGCGCACAAGAAACCTCATCCAGGGTCAAATGAAGGAGAAACTAGCCCCAACGGGCAATTTCCTGTGGGTGGATGTGCGTGATGTGGCCCTCGCACATGTCAAAGCCATCGAAGTTCCTGAAGCAGGAGGCGAGAGATTCTTCGTCACCGCTGGCTTCTTCTCAAACAAAGAGCTTGCTGATATTGCTCGCGAGACCCACCCCCAGTTAGAGTCTAAGTTGCCCCCTGCAGATTCTCCCAGCGACTTCCCGGAAAACATCTTTGGTATTGACAACACCAAATCGCAAAAGATCCTTGGACTTGACTATCGCCCACTAAAGCAAACAATCTCAGACACCATTGATTCCCTTCTAGCTGTTGGTGTTTAAACTCGGAGTTGCCTTCAAATTTCCTTTCATAGATGGGATCTCTTTATAACTAGATCTAGATTGAATCGATCAATACATTATGAAAAAAAAAAAACGAATCAAATATTCATCTTTTACTACCATATACATCAGATTAATTTAAGCAACAGGTTTCATCAAGACCTAGCTGCATCTTACGTATTATAAAAAAGATAATTCACTTATGGAGGGTCTTCGGTACATTGTATAGATACAAAACCGCGGGTTGAGTCGCTATGGCTTACCGTACCGCTTTAGCCCGTGTTCTCCGGTCAACTTTTCTCGCGCCAGCTACCTATCCAAGATCACATAGTCAATCCATTGAACAAGATGGCCTCCACCAGGCTATCGCCAACGGCGAACTTGCTACGAAAGTCGCGTTTGTTCGCACTCCCTAAAACTCTGAATAGCCCCAGCGACCAAACATTGAGAGAATCCGGCACCGCAACTCTGCCTCACCCCATTCGAGCCTCCATCGTTACACCACAATCATCACTAGCCCGAGGCGATTGGGGATTGAAACGACCTTTACCGGCTAAGTCGACGTCGGAGAAATCATCGAGACCTGTCGTCAGACTGCACGCCCTCGATACCTATGAACATGTCACCGACTTCGAATCCGCCGCAGATCACACTGTGACCCTCGAGAAGTTCCAGGAGCTGCACATGCCTATGTCTCTCCCCTCTAAAGTCAACTATGCTACAAGTGTTGTGCCAAGGCACCAAAGTCCGTTCGAAACGCACCTCGATAATACCGAGACTAGCCAGGGTCTCCAGGAACCTGGTGCCAAACAATTCAGACACACCGGTCCTTGGCTTGCTGGACAGACGGAGGCAGAGTTCGTAGCGTACTTGAAGCAAGTGACTCGCAAGAAGCCTGAGCTCCTGCAGAAGCTTCGCGAACAGTTTGTTGCTAAGCGGTCTGCCGAGATCCGAAAACTGGCACAGGATAATGGAGAGGACTTGGACGCCCATCCCGCAACTGTCACTGATGCGGAGTTCAATGCCTACATTAAGACTCTGCGGAATGATCCATTCGCTCTTGGACCTGTAGTCTTTGATCTACTTGACCTCGCTTCCCCCCTGCCGTTCCCAGCGAGCGTATCGGGCGCAAGTACTATCAATCTCCTGGAACCAAATTGTCCTCATTCGAATACGCCGTGTCAGGACCCCCGAAGACACACCCGTCTGGCGGTCTGTCATACACACGATCGCACGCTCTGATTCAGAATCATGCCCAATTTGGTCCACAAGCCCACCAACGCCCGGTGGAGGCTCGCATCTTGCGCCCTAAGGGCCGCTTTAAGGGACGCATGGCCCGGGCCCTCGCAGGTATCGGTGGTATTGCCGTCGAAGATTTGAATGCCATGACCTTTGTGGAGCAAGGCACACCCCCCGGTCTGACTTTCTTCGATGCGTCCATCCCTGGTGGAGGTAAATACTGGGTCACTCCTATTCGGGCTTCGGTTGACTCCGACGGCCGTATTGGTCTTTCGTCTTATCGCGCGAGTGCAACCGCCAAGGCTCCTTATGGAATCGAAGACCACCACAAGCCGAGTACCTTGACAATCTCCGATGTTGCCACTGCTCCATCCCCGCTGGTCCCAAGATTGGACAGACAGTCATTCGGCCAGCCTCGGTTCCAGCCTTCTACGGAGAACCGTCCCCGGAGGCAACCCACGAGGGGGACAGAGGACGTTGCACGAAGCCTTCTCAATAACCTCAACTCTAGGTCATAGGCAAAAGGGAAGTATGGGTGGACGTGCAAGGGATTGTACCATGTATGATAGATTTGGTGCTTGTGTAAAGCTACTTTCATTTTCTTTTCTGACTATGTATGTCATATAAATCGGATGCATCAATATCAAGTTATTTTCACAGCGATCATTGAAAAAAGGCCCGTTCTCCACCGAATAATGAAAAATACCAGATCAAACTAAGTTCAATTCGTACACTTGGGGATGTACTTTGTATGTACATACTACTACTACTACTACTACTATATATGAAGTAGTTTTGATGTGTTTGCTACCTTCCTGAAACAGCAAGCGGACCCATCCATTGGCCCCGATAATATTATTACATAATTGAATAGAACATTTAACATCACGTGAATTTTGATTAGGGTCTAGGGCAAGGACCCACACAGGACTAAGCGAAAGCCGGCTCTCAAACTCATCCAAATCGGCACGACGACACTCGATCTTTCGAACATTCATTCCGCCAGCCAACAACCGCCAAAATGGGTCGCGTCCGTACCAAGACAGTCAAGCGCTCCGCTAAGGTCATCATCGAGCGTTACTACCCTAAGTTGACCCTCGACTTCGAGACCAACAAGCGCATCTGTGATGAGATCGCCATCATTGCCTCCAAGCGTCTTCGCAACAAGGTGAGATTTTATACATTAGCAGCGACATTCGGGACGTCCGATTCTAATTCGCAATTTCTTTAGATCGCTGGTTACACTACCCACTTGATGAAGCGCATCCAGCGTGGTCCCGTACGCGGTATCTCCTTCAAGCTTCAGGAGGAGGAGCGTGAGCGCAAGGATCAGTACGTTCCTGAGGTTTCTGCTCTCGACGTCTCCCAGACCGAGTCCGGTCAGCTCGACGTTGACGCCGACACCAAGGACCTTCTTAAGTCCATGGGCGTAAGTTTTCACTGTATACTGCAATATTTTGGCATATACCTAATATATCTTTATAGTTCGACAACCTCAAGGTCAACGTTGTTGCTGTCAGCCAGCAGCAGCAGGCCGAGCGCCCCCGCCGTTTCGGTCCCCGCTAAATCCAGCGCCCGGAATAACGAAAAAAAAAAGTTCATACCTGGCCTTCGGTCGACCCTTGGCGGTACCCCCGACAATGTCTGTTCTGGCTGGCTTTTCGCTTGGCTAGCATGGTTTAGCTTAGTGTGGAAGGCTATTCCTGGATGAGGAATGAATAAACATGATTCTCTTTGAGAAAGGTGTCGCTGATTTTCCGAAAGGAGATGACGCTTGATTGCCAGTTTCCCCCTCGTGTCCACCCATGAGTTTACTCTCTGGGTTGGACTATGTAGGAGTTCTTGAACTAGGGTTACCTCAGTTCAGGAGACTCGAGACCTTCGGTGCCGTCAAGTCGGATTTATACCTACATATATATGTACGTCTGAGTCCTGCTGGCCAGCCTATAGCCATTCATATGGTCTCTGCGTAGATTGTTCATTACTCATGTATCAATGTCAACATTGATCGGGTATTTAAAAAGTAAAACGCCGAAAACCCCTTGGAGTCTAATAGCAACCTTGCTATATCAGATCTGATCGAGCAAATCTATGTCTCCGTCTTGATCAATGGTTTGTCGCTCCCTAGGCATGTATCCTTCAATGGAACCGCCATTTGCATCCTCCGGACGCATCTGTGGGGCGCTAGCAACCTGCCGAGAACCACGTTCGTTCTCCCTGATATCGACGTTAATACGTCCATCCGGACGAATCAAGCTGGTATCACCGCGTTCCAATGCAAGCTCCCGGGATCGATCGCGATTTCCAAGTCCCATGCTCTGCAAATCATCCACAACGGAGGAGACACTGCTAGTAGCCGCTGGTGCCTTCAAGCGCTTGGCGCGAGCTTCCTCGAGCAGTAGAATGGACGTGCCCTGCGTATCACCCGCCCGTCGTTCCCACACGGGCTTCTCGGAAAGCTGCACCCGGATCCAAAGAGCACGCTCTGCACATGCATCTGAGCACCACTTTTCGACGCGGTCCTCGGAAACGATATCGACGCTGCGTCCGCGCCCTCCTGGCCCGCTCCCTTTGGGGCCGTATTTAAATTGGAATCCACCTCCCGGGCCTCTATCTTGCTTGCGGTATTTGCGAGGACATAGAGCATATCCGCACGAGTCTTCAAAGTTTCGCTCCAGGATCAAATTGTCGTAATCGCTGGGGCGGAATGGGGCTAGCGCGTATTTGAGTTTTATGGTATCTTCTTGAGACGGTCTAGCAGGATCGGCTGTCGGGGAGGAGGGGAGCTCAAGGAGCTCAAGTATACGGTTTAAGATGACATCTTCGGCGTCTTTTTGGCTCTGGATCTGCTGTGCGTGTTGCAGAGCCACTTCAAGGTGCTGCTGAGTTGCACCGGGCCTGCCTTGTAGGTATTTGTCTTGTTCTTCTTGTGTAGGGTATTGGTATGAAGGTGGGGGTTGCTGGGCATTGACGGCAGCATATGTCTCGGGAAGAGATGTCTTGAGAGTGTGACTTGGTCCTTGCTGTGCCATAATTAGAATTGCGGCCCTGGAATATACCCTGCAAGATAATTTGAATTGCAAATGGGATGAGTTGTGAGGTGAGACGTAATTGAAAAAAAAAATTAAACTAGCAGAATTCAGTTCCAAAGCGGAAGAGGCAAACCCCCGGATTGACCCCCAATGGAAAAGGGACATATCACTGCTGACGTAGGCTTTGGGCATCCAGCCATTTTATGGGAGATGTAATTGACACTACTTACATGTAGAATCAAATAGCTTGTACATATTGTATAGGATGTACCAAGTACAATTTATGTAGGGTATGTCTACTTCTTTTCACCTATATAAGTTCGACATCCATAGCCGTCCAGCTACTTACATGTAACTCCACAGGTCTAGCTGCCTAGTGACTTAATACACTTCATACATTTCACCTTCAAAGGAAATTGACTAACTGTATATATCTAAAAATCAGTATAAAACACAAAATCCCTTGAACACATTTCACCCCCCATGTGCGTGTTCCCTGGTTGATGTTAGCCGCCGATCGCCCAGTGGAGCCCATTTCCCTCACTCATCCCGCCAAGTGACGACCACCTCACTACATCCTCCTCTCCCTTACTACTTTTTTTTTGTCTTTCCCACTCTGTTCTTTTTTTTCCCATCTTGCATCGATTCTTTGCTGGCCCTGGATAGGGTGTTCGGTTCTCCACGCCGTGAGTCCTTCCGCAGTTCCCCTCCCCCCTCATGTCCATGGGTAGGCACCCGTGGACTCATTGACGCCCGTTTCATCTAAGCTGACACGCATTTTTACCACAAAGGAATTGATTTGTTTCGCCTTAAATATCGCTGCATGCCAAACGTATTGAAGCTAGCGATTCGCTCTGTACAGATATTCTAGCGCCATTGCGTCACAGACTCGATCAGCATTCCTCGCTCCATATCGATTGTCCTAGGGTCTGAACCTCAGATTTGAATTGCCAGATGTCAGGTCCACCCTTTACGGTCCGCTCGGTCTTCGAGTATACTTCGGGCCACGATGACGATCTCAACTTCCCGATCGGTCAAATCGTGACTGTCACCGCCCTGGAGGACGACGATTGGTACTACGGTGAATACTCAGACGCCCAGGGGGTCAAGCAGGAGGGCATATTCCCGAAGAACTTCGTTGAGAAATATGAGCCCCCAGCCCCTCCGAGACCATCCCGGCCCAGACCTAAAAAAGAGCCCGAGCCGGTGCCAGCGGAGTCCCCCGTGGTCGAAAGCAAGCAGACTGAGCCGGAGTCCGAGCCAGAGTTGCAGCCCACGGAGGTAGACTATGAGATTACATCCCCGAAGGCACCTCTTCCACAGTCCCCTCCTCTACATGCGAGTACCCCTATAGCAGAAATTGCATCCTCGCCCCCGCAGCGGGCAAAGGCGCCCGCTCCCGCCCCTCCCGTGGCCCCAACTGAACCCGCAGCCAAGGCATCCCCGAAACCCGCGCCTCCAGCTGTTGCGGAGAAGCCTTCGGGGTCATCATTCAGGGATCGCATCGCTGCCTTCAACAAACCCGCAGCAGCACCAGTTACGCCATTCAAACCGGGTGGTTCCCAGCCATCCTTCATCAAGAAGCCTTTCGTTGCGCCACCTCCTAGCAGGGATGCCTACAAGCCTCCACCAAGGGAACCTGCACCCAAAATCTACAAAAGAGAGGAGGATCCCGATGTCAAGGAGCAAATCGCCCGCGAACCTCCGGTTTCTGAAAGCCGGCCTGCTCCCATTGAAGGTGGCGAAGAGAGCGCTGAGGACCAGCCCAAGCCAACTAGTCTGAAAGAGCGAATTGCTTTGCTCCAGAAGCAGCAATTGGAGCAAGCTCAACGTCATGCAGAAGCAGCTCAGAAGAAAGAAAAACCCTCCCGTCCTCACCCTAAGAAGTCTGTGGATGAACCTGTGGCCCCCGCAGTCCTTAATGAGGAACAGGAGCATCCCTCTCTCGAAGAATCCCCGGCTGCTCGGGATCCTAGTGTTGATACATTGAGGGCTGCAGCGCCTCCTCCACAGCCGCCTGCCCCATTTTCACCCACCCAAGAAACTGCGAGTGACGCCAATGACGCAGACTACTCTGCTGCTGCAGACTCTGAGGATGCAGGCGAAACATCCACCAGTAAGGATGATGAGGAAGATCAACCTCAGCCTCGTCCAGTCTCCCAGCGTCAGCAGTCGACTCGTACAGTCGAGCAAACGGCTGAAGCAGATGTTGAGGACGAGGGTGAAGCAGAAGAAGAGGAAGAGGAGGAAATGGACCCCGAAACCAAGCGCAGAATGGAACTGCGTGAGCGGATGGCTAAGATGAGCGGTGGCATGGGTATGATGGGTCTCTTCGGCCCGCCTGCCGGAGGTATGCCGGGCATGTCCGGTCCAGGTGTTGCTCGCAAGCCCAAGACCCCCGCCGAGTCAGACAAGAGGCTTGGAGAGCTCGAGCCTGAGCCGACTTCCCCTGCCAATGCGCCCCCAGTTCCTATGATTCCCCTTCCTGGAATGAACGTGGCTAGCAAGCCGGTACCTTCTTCCATTGAAGTGGAGAAGGAAGAGGAGGAGCTTTTGGCGACTCCTCTCACGGAACAACACTCTGCACGCGAGGTGCCAGACGTCGAGGAGGTCGTTCACGAAGGTGCGCAGCCTCGTGCCTCTATTGATCGTCCAGTTCCGGCTCCTCCATCTCAAGGTAAGATATTCCCGGCAGTCTAATGCATGGTTTCAATTCCTGATAGTCGCAGATCGTTCGGCACCTCCTCCACCTCGTCGGGAGTCAAGACCCGTCCCGACTGTGCCAGATGAGCCACCGGCTTCCCCTCCGCCAGTTCCTAGAGGTCAGTACCCAGATCCTGAAACAATTTACTTGACGTGGGTGTTAACAATAAGATACAGGCCGGCCGGTTCCTCTATCACGGCCCACAACTGCTGACCAGGGTGACGAGTCTGATGATGAATTGTCTGTGCACACATCTAATCTGTCGTTGAATACCTCGGCTTCCCCACCTGTCGTGCCTGCACCTGCGATACCTGATCAGATTGACTCTCGCCGTGGCGAAACATATGACCCCGTGTCCTCTCCAGTTTCGACCCCTGCAGCCGAAAAGAGAGCTAGTCGTCTACCACCCCCTATTCCAGTCAATCCACCCATGCCACCGTCATCGCAGGGCCGCGCTCCCCCACCCCCACCTCCGGATCAACTTCGTCGCCAATCTACCGCTGATAGTCGCACAAGTGCATTATCCCCTCCTCGACAGGCCGGAGAAGAAGCGGAAGGAGAGGTGACCGAATATGACGGTGACTACGACACTGATATCGCATCGGGAGTCAAACACAAGGATGCTCTGAAAGCTCACGAGCGGGAATCCAGCTTTGACGAGGGTATTACCACCGACGACCATTCCATTCAGTCCCCGCGCAGTCCCCAGGAATCCCGACATCCCCCACCTCCACCACCAACGGCTCCCAGAGCAGTTCCCCCTCCACCCCCAAGCCAGCCGCCCCGGAATGCCCGTGCGTCTATTGACACACCTAGGGGACCGCCGCCTCCTCCTCCTCCACCGCACAGAGAGGAGCCACTCAGTGATGATGAAGATGATGTTGAATATGACCCTTTTAACTATTCCGCTCCCCGGCATGGTCTCCCTACCTCTCCGCCCCTCCCACTAGGTCGCCCAGAGGCTCCCCCTCCTTTCCCACCTAAACAAGGAGCTGATGAATACGACGATCTGTATGATGCACCTCCTGTGCAGAGCCCAGTGAAAGAAAGACCATCTCCTTTGCATGAGAAGCGTCTCTCACTGGCACCTATGCCCCCCCTTAGCCAGGTTTCGGGTCTGCCATCCCCGTCCGCAGCCCGAACCCAGCGCGCATCTATGGATCTTCTCAGAAACCAGTCTAACGTTCGTCGGTCCATGGATATTTCTCGCCCATCTATCGACCAAGGCTACATCGCTACGGATGTTGATTTCGCCGAGTATACCCTCTGGTGGACTAAACCCAACACCCCGCCTCCGGCGTTCCAGAACCGCACTGATCTGCTGTTCGAGGTCGAAGAGACATCATCCACGAACCGTGGTGGCAAAACAACAGTCTCGAAGGATGTTTACATCCTGTTCCTCGATTACTCCCAGACAATCTTGAATGTCCAATTCGACCCCAAGAACCCCGCGGATGCTTCTTTCGAGCAGCGCCATGAACCCCCGCCGCTTCCGCTTCGTCAAGACCAGCTGGAACAGGCTCATATTCAGCTCGGAACCCGAATCTCGGAAGCCGTCAACTCGATCCAAAACTCTACTGTTGGAGATGGCACGCCGTTCGGGCTGGTTCAACACCTGCTCAATCCTCTTTCCGACGCGTTGCTTCCTGTGGGGACCCGCGGATACGGTGCTTCGGTTTACTCAAACCTGGCAAATGCCTCTGTATCTCAGAATGATGAAATCCGCGCCGGTGACATCGTCAGCTTCCGCAATGCCCGATTCCAGGGCCACCGCGGCACCATGCACCAGAAGTACAGTGCCGAGGTCGGAAAGCCCGACCATGTCGGCATCGTAGTGGATTGGGATGGCACGAAGAAGAAGATCCGAGCCTGGGAGCAAGGCCGCGAGAGCAAGAAGGTCAAAATGGAGAGCTTTAAGCTAAATGACCTCCGCAGTGGCGAATGCAAGGTCTGGCGAGTGATGCCCCGTAGCTGGGTAGGCTGGGAAACCAGTAGGTAACTGGACGAAAGGATTCTGGTTTGAGAATTCGACCTTTTTGTTGCAGTTTTTGCGCTATGAGCAGACGACCTTTTTTTTCCCCCCTAAGTGTTTTTGCTTGCCCCTTCTAGATTGGGTGGGATCATGTATGAATGAAAAGGAGCCTCCTTTCTCCCCTGTCTTCTATATTCTTCTCCCTTTTCTTTTCTTTTCTTTTCTCTTTTCTTGTCCTGCTCCCTTCTCATGAATCATCTGGACTTGGTGTGGTAATGTGAGATGGGGAATGGTGGTCCCTATTTGATGGAGAGTTGAACGTGCAGCTTTTCTTTTTTTCTTATGTCAATGGTACATTTTGCATGATTCTATCCCCGAGCAAACTATAAGACTATTCTCAACCTTTCAGTCTACCTACGTTTTTAAGTTGTTACAGGTTTGTAGATAATTTTGCAAGTTTGGAAAGTGTTGTATATATTCCTAGGCCAAGACAATTTATCTTTTGGTACCACAATGATAGTGCAATTCATTAAATAATAGTCAAGTCTTTCAAGGTTGTAATTATTAGGGCTTATTCTGTACACGAAGATAGAATATTGAGGGGGCTAAGCCACTACGCCCCAATTCCTATTGTGTGTTCCAGAACCCAACGCCTCGTCTGAAATAAATTAACATCCCAAGATTCTAAGGCGAAAGTTTTCTATGGAATTCGAACAAAACTACTCCGTACTCCACACCAATTCGTAGTGGTTTTACCATTTTTTACCTTCAGCTGGGTAAACCAGCGCCTCAAACTCGAACCCACAATTACATAGGAACTCACACAAACCACATACCCAGTGCTAAAGAATCACTTCTCCATATGGAGCAGGCAATAAGCGAACCCGCATTAGCCACACGACACTGTTGAGAGACCGGGGTCTCAGCAATCTCAGTAATCTTACCCCTCATCACCGACAGCGGAGAGCAGCTCCAATTATAAACGTTGGTTCGTTTTTTTTTGTTGAGTTTCTACTCGGTGCACTATGTTATTAGAAGCCCCTGGATTTCCGGCTCGTACTCCGGATATTGATATTCGCGATCGGTTCCTAAATTCCGAGCTGATCAGAAATATCGGAGATCAGATTTTCGTTTCTACCCCGTATGCATTCTCGAGGTATAGACCAACGCAAGGTAGCAATACTATGTATACTTCCGGTAGTTAGTGTATGGCATTTCAAATTTAGGAATTTTAAGGCCACAGATCCACGGACATTTTGATTTTGATTTTTTTTAGAAAAAATGAAACGGGTTTTTTTTTTTTTGGCCACGAGGATTGGTCCTGCGGAGTGCTCCGTTCGTCAAGCCCCTTGGCGGATGCTTTCCGGTACGTTGGTTCTTTTTTTTTTTTTTTTTTTCTTTTCAATGCTCCAGTCTGTTGCACATGGGCTTTGATGACATCAAAGCATTTGAGGTCTCATTTTTATACGAAATGCCTAAAACTTGGAAGCGCATAGGAAAAAAAAGCCTTCCAATGTCTAACCTAAAAAAGGCACTCGAAGCGTTTAAATTGCCATCCACATTGGGACTAGTCAGGGGTATACCAGTTTACCATTTCTTGGACTCTCCAGTCCTAGGGCATAGTACGGAGTACTACGGAGTACATATATGAATACTAATTCTATTAGTACTCCGTAGAACACCCAGCTCTTTCTGACGTTTCAAAAGCTTGGGCACTTCCCCCAAACGGCTGTCAAGTCTACGCTGATGTAATTAATGTTCCTTTTCACTTTTATGTTAGAAATATATAGGTTTTTGGGCTTGATATTTCTCCATTCCGTTATATAAGTCTCAAAGATCGGAGAAATTCGCAAAGCTTTTTAATAAAGTACTCACACTCCACAGAGTAGGGCTAGTATATTCCAGGTCGAGTGGAGAGACTCTATCGGGGTATCTACCATGGTTCAGCTTCATTCTGTGGATCTAACTATTTGGGAAATCGGAAGTTCCAAGCTACATAGCCTCATCAGATGTCTTCTGCAGGTGTCGGAACATTCATGAATCCAGGTTGCCGATTGGGCTATTGCGGTCTTACAACAGACACAATGTTGTATACTTTGTATTGTGTCCTATACGCCATTGATCACTCAAATACTTTCAACATATTGTTCTATATGGAACATATATTCTAAGTTTATTGCATATTGCAGTATCGCATGTCTGATTAACCTAGTATGTTATACCCTAGGGTTACAATGAATTTCCCTTGCAGCTTACTATGAAGCAAGGAGCCCACTGGGCTATATTATGTGTGACCCTACTTTCCAAGGTTGTACTGCTTGATTCTGATATGAGAGATTAGATGAACTACTACCGTGGACACCACCAAATCTTGTTCCGATCTGTGGAAGGAAGTAATAGACGATCTTGGTGTTTCCTGTGTCCCCCGGAGCTACCGTAACAAATGAGTGTTTTCTTTTTTTCCCGCCCCTTTGCTTCATTACGGAGTACCCCGGTTTCATCTGAGAAAACAGCTCACATGTCACCAAATTGCATTGTCTCGAAGGGAATTGGGCTCATTGACATGTCCGACCTATCCCGCAGTCATTAGAGTGGCGCTCAGCCCCAGGTTCCACCTACGGGAAGCGAGTAGAGAGGGAGGAGAGGGGGGATGTGATCCTTAAACCATTTTATTTTATTTTACCCAAGGGGTGAAATGGATTACAGTAATTTTATTAAATGGATACTTTCTTCATAGAGAAATTTAAACTCTCAGGTTAAGTAGCCTTACCATACCATACATGCCTTGGACCATGGATGTAGCCTCGGGAAGCCCCCTTTGCCTCATGGACATAATAATGTAACAGTACGGAGTATACATCAACAGAAACACATATATATACATCTATACTAGGTACTCTGTACTAGGTATGTTATATTAATATAATGAGCAGCTGATATATAAGAAGTTTTTATATAAAATAAAGAACAGTAAAAGGGATTCAATATTGATCGACCCGGTGGACACCAATTTGAGACGATCATCTAGATCCCTTTTTTTTTTACAATTTTTTTTTCCCTTGGTATGGTATGCCGCTAAGAGAGCCTTGGAGAGAGGGAGAGAGAGTTACAGTTCTGGATCCATTCCAAATCTCCCCTCCCATCGCATTCTTCGCGTCAATTTCTCCAATCACTCTTTTTTTGACCTATTTCCTTCTCGACCGACTCTGTAGCATATTGATTTCTCTTATTTATCTCATACTGTGACCTGTCTCTCCCCGCTAAATACTTTGATTGGCCTTCAATCCGGGCCATTCACGGTACACAACGTGAACTTGGCATTCCTTGCGCCTCTTATCTTCAGGAGACATCCCTCTCCCTGACTTCAATCTACACTTGTTGTTGCACCTCAAGGTCATGCCGCTCATTTCATTCTCTGGATAAGGAAATCCAGTGAGTCACGTTAAAGGCATTGAGCCTAAATCGGACACTGATCAATCGACTGTTAACGCAATTACTACACACTCGCTGAATTTATCGACATTCAAGTCAATCTTAAAAAAAATTACACAATCGCATTCATTCCTTTCCTATTACGAGGTGGCCCCTGAGCGCCTCAAATCTACCATCCATGATGAATCGATTCCGCAAACACAAGAAGGGGAAGGAGGTCGTGGAGGATCAAGAGGGTATCTCATCAGGATCAGCATTCAGTCTCAAGCCGAAGAAGAAGGAGGCACCCGAACCCAAACTAGATTTCGACCTATCAGCTGCACTGCCCTCGACAGACAACTTCCGTACCAGTCTACTAATGCCCAAGTTGTCCGCTCGATTTAGCATGCTGAAGGAACAGGACGACCCACAATCAATGCTAGGAAAGGCCAGTGATGATAGTGTTTTGTTTCCTAAACGCGCTTCGCGACTCAATTTGTTCGGCCACAACCCAGGCACGCTGGCAGATATTGATGAAGTTTGCTCCAATGACGGTAACCGGCCCTCTCTTGCACTCGACCGCACTGGTTCTTTCGCTTCCGGTGGAGATGGTTATGGTACGGATGATGACCGATCCCAGGGGGGCAGTATGATGAGTAGAGCCCGTCGCGCTGAGGGCAATAATCTGTTTGGAGGTCGCCAAAAGGTTTACAAGATCCCGGTCAGATCGCCAGTGGGAACAACCAACGATACGTCAGAGGCTGGTCGCCGAGGCATGGGAAAGCCGATCTATGAACACGACCTGAACCTATCTGCCTTTCAGCGGTTGCGCCTCAAGGAGAAGGAAGAACGAACGGCAGAGGCTGCCCGGGAATCTGGATACGCTGCCTCAACCGCCTCATCTAACAGCCGGGCCACATACTCCTCCACCGCATCTGGGCCTCTGTCAACAGTTCCAACATCAAATGGGGCCGCCTCGGCCGATGAGTCACCGTTCAACACGTCCCAATCTCCTGTGGCCGGTTATCCGTTCCCGGAAACTCATGCTGAAGCCCCTCGAGTTGGTCCTATGTCTAACCCACGCAATGGTTCAATCCGCAACCGTCGTCTCTATGGGCAAGGATTAACCCAGGCTGCGCAGAACCAGCAGACCTCGACCTTGAACCGCCTGGAGAGTCTGAGTCGCCAGCGTGCCGGCACTCAAGACCTCCCCTCTTTGAACCGCAACTACTCCAAAAGTGCCACTAACCTACGAGACCGCCTGCAAAATCTTGCAATTGTTGAGCCGGCCTCTGACTTACAACCGACTAGCCCTCCTTCATCCGCAACGTCACCGAAGACCCGCAGGTCTGGAGAACCCGCGTTCAAAGACCGTCTTTCGCCCACAGCACCAACGGTTGGGGCTCCTCCCCTGAGCCCGCCCACAAGCGAGAACGACGAGGTTTCCTCGCTGTTGGCTGCGTCACTTCACCCAGAAGATCATGGAAAGGCTACCGCTATGGGCTTGTTCAACCGGCCTGTCACTGGTTTCGACGAACAGGCATTCTCCCGCCGTCAACTTCAAATGCACCAGGAACGAGAGACCCCGCTCCCGCGCCGTGCATCACCCCCGCGCCGACCTTTACCTGCAGACCCTGCGGGCCGTGCCCGGGGACTATCGAAGTCCAGCTATCGTTCCCGAGCAGAGTCCGCCTCGTCTCACTATAGTAGTGATGCGCACCGCGGCATCGATCATTCTGGTGTATCTAGTGTTGAGGCTTCTCCCTTTAGACCTGGAGTGAGAACTTTCTATGCCAACTCAACTCCTAGCGAGTCTGGCGACGAAGGAGAAACCCCTCCTTCGCACGAACTTTCAGCGACTTCGCTGGCCACCGAGTATGGCCCGCCGCTTCAAAACTCCAACGTAGCATCCAATAAGCCATCAAATCCCACGACAGATCACCTCGAAACGCTGCCTGAAGTGAGATATTCCGAACTAGGCGATCTTAGACCCATTGACGAGAATGGCCTTGATTTCACAACTTCCTTTCCCGAAATCAGCGACAACACGCCGAAGAGACCTGACTCGCCAACTCTGCAACCGGACCAAGGCCTTAGTGGAATGGGGGGGATGGTTAGATCTCACCTGCGCCAGGAAAGTGACAGATCTTCCATCTTCCCTCCTCCTTCACCTCGTTTCTTGCGGCCACAGAATGATAGCTATCCCCCTCAGAATGAGGCCAAGGGCTCAATCCCCCAGCCACCGGCCTTTCTTCCCGCAATAGCAGAACCCCGCGAAGCGAGTCGGCCACCGTCGACAACCCGCCCGGGAACCTCGACCTCGCGATCTCCTTCTAGACATTCTGCAGAAGGCACTGGCCCTCGAAACAGCGAAGAGTCATCCGCACCTGGAACTATTCCAGATACAGCTTCTGTGTCGAATGGCTCGTCCTGGAGGGAGGAATTAGAGCTTCATCATCGCCGTCATGGGAGTACTGAGACCCAAAAGGAGCGAGAGGAGTTTGCCATTGAGCTGGCGGAGAGGCGTAGGAAGGTGCAGGAGAAGCTACGAAGTGTCGCTGAGAACGAAAGCCGATCCAGCAGCCCCACCCCAGGCCGGTCAACTCCGGACTTGTCCCGGGCTGGTAACGCATTTGCCATGTTGAAGCAAAAGACTAGCAAACAGGCTAGCGCAAAGCCGGATCAGAAGAAGTTGTTCGGTTATGTCGGTGGCAATTCGTCTACGCCTGCTCTTCCTTCAGATGATTCGTTGCCTGAGGAGGAGCGGCCCTCTTTCAGCTTCGGCCGCCATTCCAACTCTAGCTCTCCCCATATTGGATCAGAGCGCTCGCTCAGGTCTCGTATGCCATCTGTCAGCCGCGACAACAGCTACGAGGACTCCCGTGAGTCCAGCCGCAGCCGTGGCCACTCGCCTTTCCGAGACCAGAGAGATCGTGCCGGCTCGGATGCATCAGGCCGGTCCAAGAGTCGAACCAGACTTCGCGAACGGGATGACCTTGAAACTGTGGACGAGGGTTCAAGCATTGCACATGGGAAGCTTGTTGCTCCTGAGGGCTATGAGCCTCCCATGCCTGCCTCGCGCCCTACATCCAGTCGCCCATCAGCAGAAATTTCTGACCCTGCGAACTTCGACCGCACTCCTTCTGTCGCTTCGGGCAGACACCGCAGTACCAGCCGATCCGGTACACCAAGCTTCCAATACGAACGGCCATTCCAGTTCTCGCAGACAAACACCTCCTCGATCATCGGTGCTTCGCCCCGACCCCCACCCGCCGCCCCGGCCTACTCTGCCAATGCCACCCCTCCACTGAATGAAATGCCGTCATATGGCTCATCTACATCCCTGGCCTCTGCATCCAGCAGCTCACCGATTCCCCAACGTGGTCTGGGACAAGGCTCTCTCCTGAAGCGCCCTGTGAACAAGAAGCAGATCTCCGAGCCTACCTTTGTCTCATCTACATCAGATGTCCCTCTCGTCGGCCTCCCACCTGGATCCTCGCTGCCTTCACCCACCACCGCACCTCCACTGCCACCTATGAACCCCCGCCGTCGCCGCGGAACTGCCACCCAAACCATCTTGAGTGCCTTCAAGAGCGACAAGAGCGACTCGTCGCGGGTCACTTCTCCCGTTCCGAGCGCCATGGATGAACAAAGCTTCTTCCCAGAACAAAGTGGCTTCATAGATGACGAAAAACGCCCACGCTCCCGAAACCGTCTCCGCAAAACGACTTCAAGCGAGGGCGGTAACCTGACCGGGCGTTCGCGCCAGGGATCCATGACTGGCACTCCGCCAGCTGTTCCTCAGTACCCGCCTCCTGCTATCCCCATCAATGGAGGCATGTTCTAAAACACAACTTCCCATCCAGCTCTTTATATATCCACCTTGCCTTGACCTTGGCTTTCCTTATTCCTTTACTGTTTCATTTACCTACACCTACTCTCACTCTCTCTGCCACTCCTCACACACCCCCTTTCCGGGCCTTTTCTTCTCTTCTCTGAATTCTCTTATCATTTCTACTATTGACGACTAGATACCACTCGGTGCATTTGAGCGTCTCATGTCTACTTTCGATCTTTTCGATCTTTTCTTTTTTTGTTACAAACATCTTTTGAGCTGGATTTTCGTCTTACACGTATGTACTCTATTTTGTCAATTTCAATGGATACACCACTCGCCATACAACTGTTTTGTTTCCTGTAGACTACTTGAAATATCTTCATACTCCCAAATAAACCCGCTTCGAGGACCTATCATGGTACAGGGTGTGGTATATTGCCGACGTAATCATGCCTAACTGGAGACTGGTTATAGCCGACCTCGAAGATCAACGATTCGGAATTTATCCACCTTGTATTCAACACCGTTAAAAAGGAATGCGGAATTCATAGTATTGAATTGCTTCATTTAATCTAGAGTTATTTTTCGTTCTAATTCGTTCAAGGTTTCTCCACGACCGTCTTGAGGTATCCCAAGACCCTCTCAACAAGGAACTTCCGCGGCTCAGCTTGGTCATCGTTACTCAAAGCATGAGAAGCATTGGGAATAATGCCAGTGTACTTTTCATCCCAGATCTGATATTTGCCATCATGATCAGTAGCTTTCTGCCACCTAGCCAGAATCTTGTTCATATCAACCCAATCAGGAATCGACTGATCCTTCCCAGAGATCAAGACCATGAGCTTATGATTCAACAGTCCCCGCTCCTGAATCATACCAAAGGTGGTTCTGAAGTGTTCATCGCTCAGATCCGAGCTGAACAAATCATCCTCCTGAGGTGTCTGGGGACTCTCAGGACTAACAAGACTCAAGAATCTCCGACAGCTAATTGGGGTATTGGCAGGATAAATCATCGAAGTCAATGAGAGGGGCAGCATGGTATCATGGGGCTTGCCTTCAGCAACAGCCGCCAGCGCCAGCGCCTCCATCTCATCATATACAGCACGAGCCTTCTCAGGCGTCGTTTCACCAATTCCGCCCTTCAAGACGCAGAAGATGGCCTCGCGATCAGAAACAGGCGCTTGCATGATCGCGCCGTCCAGCACGGGCCGCGTGATGTGTTCGATACCGGCGTCGAAGGCGGGGATTTTTGTGTGCGGGTTCGATTGGGACAGGTAGTGCAGGACGCACTGGCTGCCCGTGGAATGACCCATCAGGGCGATCTTGCCACCGCCGAATTTATCGGCCTTGTAGCTTCTGATGTATTCCAGACATTGGGCGATCTCGTTCGTGTCGCGGTCGAGATGTCCAAGACCCCAGGATTGGTAGGAGGATGTGAGGTTTAGTGTGAAGAGGGACCATTCTGTGTGCTGTAGTGCGCGCGCCAGATCGGCCATGTAGGAGGTTGTCGCGAGGCCGTCGCCGAGTCCTCCTACGAAGAGGATACTGTGCGGTTGGCGGACTTTGCTGGAGGCATATTCGAATGTGACGAGGGTCTCGGTCTACAAGTTTGCGCGATCAATTGTTAGTTGCAATTGCAGTGTTTTATTGATAGCGGGGCAGAAACGTACGTAGTGGTGCAGAATACCGGGAAGACCTCCCTTAGGCCAGAACTTAGACATGTTGGTGTGTGTGTGGTGGGGGTAGTGTATCTGTCAATTGAAGTGGGAAAACTTTCTAGGAGCTAGAGAGGGTCTCTGGGATAGGATGTTTTCTTTAATCTAACAATTTGCCGAGATCGGCTATGTGTCTTTCTGCCATGACGGAATGTGGGCATGTGGACAATTTACCTATGTCGGTTAGTTTGAACCAAAGAGTTCGATCCAATGGGTTCACTGTTTCATGCCATCTTATCAATCTGATTAAACCGAGGCAAGCCGAAATATTAGGTAACAAGTCTCACATTCATGGGATTTTTCAGCGCCAAGGTCAAAGGGTACAAAGTACGGAGGGGGTGGAAAAGACTGATTTTTTGAGGAAATTATATGGATATCTTGAACCGGGTATTTCAGTATACCCGTTTAGGTAATACGGTGTATCATGGAATACCAAGTATGTTATTGAATACATCTGGATGTATTTCACTTGAACGGTAAATACCACTATCAGTCCATTGTTTTGCCTAGTAATAATTACACGAAGCTTGGACGATAAAACTCCACCATTGAGACTAAAGCTGTGGTACACATGCAGGCTAGTCGGTACTAGCCGTTACAGGTAAGATCAACGGATCTGATTAGATTGATTGGCTGGAAGCAGAAGAATCTGATTAGATTGCCCCCGCTGTGAAAATTCTACCCAACGTGCGGGCTAAAGGAAATTCGTCAACACCTGCATCTCAATACAAGACTTTTCTGAGATGCTTAGAAATCCTTGGTCACTCAACAGTCAGCCTTACCCGACTTCATGCTCGAGTATCTTTACCTGAAGAGGTGCTGTGTCCTATCTCGTTTGATGCACTGTGATTAGAGGCCAGGGATTGAACAAACCGAGACCAAGTTTTGTACTCCGTTTTCTGTATGCAACATTGCCCTTGTCAGACGAGTGGGTAGGCGTTTTGTGGCGTTTGGAATTCATCTAAAGCTTTTTACAAGCGAGCCAAGAAATCAATTATGGAACGTGCGCGCTAGAGTGAGGCCTTTTCCTTTGATGTTTTTTTATATTGTTATCGCGTGTTCCGCCAGGGTCCAAGCGGATACATTATTACTTATTATTTATTCTGCATAGTTGTATTCAGATCTCTCTCCTATATTGTATACTGTACATTGCGAAAAGTGTACAACATACTCCGTACTCCGTACATACATGACACATGCGTGTGCGTGGGATCTTAAAAAGTGGGTCTCGGAATGACAGACTATCGCATCCCTCATTCCTCGCTTTCATCATCCATCGGGCTTTTCCGCTTGAGAGGCACAATCATGGGTCCCCTGAGCGATTGGCCTCCGAAACCTCGGAGAACAATGCCTTTTCAGATTGGAGTTAGCCATGATGTGTTTCAGAATAGGTCGATCATATTCACACTGCCTTCTTCAATTTCCATCTTAGTGATGAGCGATAGTCTAACTAAACTAGGGTCTTCGTCCATTGAAGCAGCCTTAGCGTAGCATTTCTTTTTATTTCACGTTTTTCCCTTTCTTTTCTCTCATGTGGAGCCTGTGGATACCTTTTGTATCATACAGTATTGTATGTATATCGCTGTGAGATCTGTAATCACATACACGTATGGATCCAAAATGGCTCAGGAAAGATGAAACCCAACGGCCACATGCTTCGGCTTGGTATCATGTTGCCTTCCAGAACGGGTGTGTGTGTCGAATAATCCACATCCCACCCCGCAATAGCCGATCTCGGTGATGATATGCAAAATACTTGCAGGGTACAGTCAGGATACTTCGGAACTTTTCAAGCCTTGAGGTGGAGCATGATGCAACGGAACCGTGGCTAGGTTACCTATATAGTGACACACTTCCGTCAAATCGACCCGCGCAAAGGCTCCAGATTTAATAGTCGAGTTCCAATTCCTTCCTCACATCAACTCGAGGGAACTAAGACCAGCTGTGCTGGTCTGCCGTCAGAATGGGCTTCATACCTCTCGAAGATGTCTATGCTGCCAATGCGCCAAATGGAATTGATAAAGCGCCAGCAGATGCAAATGGCGACTTTAGCTCATTCAAAATCGCGGATCTTGTCTCTGAACAAGCTGTCACTCCGACCGGTATGAAGGAAGAGATTGTGCTGTTGTCCTGGCTCATGGTGCTGTTGCGCAGCCGGGAAGACAGCCAAATATCATACGACTGGTCCTACAAAAATTCCGAAAATGGCGTTGAGCCCCAGTCAGTGAACAAACTATTGATGAATGAAGTAATGAAAGGATTGCAAAGTAATGTGGGAGAGGTTGCGACTGCGATCTCTCGGAATATCACCACGGGAGCGTCGAGTCCCGCATCACTCGTTTTGAGCACCAGCTCTCTTTCGCGAACATCTGAAGAAGCCAAAGACGAAGTAAGTGGAAGGTTAAAATCATAGCCAGTCAGCCATAACTAACTGTAATCGAAAAGGGTATACTTCACCTTGAAGTTCGCTACAATAATACCCACTTCGAGGTCCGCCCATTGTGGCACACCGACAACATGCTGCCGTACACAGTGAACCACCATGTCGAGGCACTTGCCGACACTATCAAAGTATGCCTCACAAATCCCGAAGCGACTGTTGAACAGTGCCTTCGCCCGACTGAAAGCGACCTGAACGATATATGGGGGTGGAACCACGAATTGCCTCCCACATACAACTTTTGCATGCAAGATATGGTCGCCGAAAGAGCTCGCGAATACCCAGACAAAGTAGCCATTGATTCCTGGGATGGCACCCTGACATATAGCCAAATCGACCAGTGGTCCACTTTCGTGGCGTTCTCGCTCAAAGAAATGGGTGTTGAGCTGCACGATGTCGTCCCCGTGTGCTTTGAGAAGTCTAGGTGGACGATCGTAGCGGTTCTCGGAGTGATGAAAGCAGGTGCAACTCTTGCACTCATGGACCCGACTCTTCCGCTTGCCCGTCTTCAAAACATGGGAGTACAGGTCGGCGCAAAGTCCATGGTTTCGTCCCGTCAGCAGTATGAGCTGTCACTGACAATCATGCCAACTGGAAATCACTTTGTTGTTGAAGAAGATGCTTTCACAAATTCATCAAATTCCTTATCAATCTCCGATTTACCCGCTGTACCATCCTCCGCCCTTATGTACATCATCTTCACCTCTGGCAGCACGGGCACACCGAAGGGAGTGAAGATTTCTCATGAAACCTACACGAGCAGTGCCATCCCTCGAGCAAAGGCTGTTGGATACACGCCAGAGTCCAGAGTTCTTGATTTTGCATCCTACGCCTTCGATGTCAGTATCGACAGT